TTCGCTTACTCCTCAAGGTCTATCACTCATAAAAGTTTGGTGTTTTAATCTTTCACCTGTTTTTGAGATCTCGCTCAGACAACTCATTTTGAGGACAGGAAAACACGCGAGCGGAAGTGAATTTTTGAAAGATATTTGAGGTTACTCTAGACATTTGCAGTCTGAATGACATATTTAAAATTCATTTCAAATACTTTATCTAGAAAAAAAAATATTGATGGAAAAGTAAAATACTCAAATTATGTAGTTCTTCTCTTATAACCGGAAGTTGTCGTTTTTGTTTCCGGTGGGACCAACATCTTTCGAATCTGCGAAAAAGATGCAATAAAGTGATGCAATTTTTAATTAAAAAAAAAAAAGTTAAAATTTTCGATTTCTTTGATCACTTCCTGTGAGGGCCGGAAGTGACGGCTGATGCTTTGAACCCAAATGTTTTTGCCTATATCTTAAGCTCTGTTGCTCATATAAGTTTGGTGTCTTAATCTCTCACCGTTTCTGAGATCTTGCTCAGACAACTTTTCATTTTGAGGACAGGAAATCACGCGACCGGAAGTGAATTTTTCAAAGATATTTGACATTACTCTAGATATTTGCAGTCTAAATAACATATTTAAAATTCATTTCAAATACTTTATCTACAAAGGAAATTAATGGGAAAGAAAAATACTCAAATTATGTAGTTTTTCTCTTATAACCGGAAGTTGACGTTTTTGTTTCCGGTGGGACCAACATATTTCGAAACTACAGGAGAGGTGCAATAATGTGATGTAAGTATTGATTTAAAAAAAGAAAGTTGAAATTTTACGATATCTTTGATCACTTCCGTAAACGACCGGAAGTGCCGACGACGAACGAAAATACGATTCTGCAAATTTAGAAGTCACGTTCTATGCTCTCCAATAAGTCTCCAGTTCATATCTTTAGCCATTCTTGAAAAAAAGGGGCGACAAAATCTCATTTTAAAATCAGGAAATTGCCCGTAACTTGGAACCAAAATGGAATTTTCCAAATTTTTCTTGTGATGAAACAAGTTCATACAATGACCAATTTTTTCTGAAAGTTTCACGGAGAACCAATGAATAGTTTTCGAGAAAACGCCTGCACAAAATTTGGTCAAAAAAATAATAATAATAATAAGAATAATAATAATAATAAGAAACAGTAGAATCACTATAAGGTCTTCCGTGAAAACGGAAGACCTTAACTAGATACTTATTGCCTAGGCAATAACAGGTCTTCCGTTTTCTTGACTTCTTTGAAAAAAAAACTCACAATCATCTCAATAAGATTACTCTAAATAATAACAAAAGTTATCTCAAGGCTTCCAAAGATATGTAGATACAGATAAAAACAAACGGAATTACTTTTCTGTTTTCTTTATGTACTTCGTCATGAAAGAAAGTGCTCCAAACATATAAATGTATAAAATTATTTGCATGGTCATGGTCTATCTAACATCTGCATTAGTCAAACATTTCTGCAAAAAGAAAAAAACTTTAAAAATTCACTTTTTTGCATCGCTTCCTGTCACGACCGGAAGTGACGACAACGTACGATTTTTACATGATGTAGATAAACTGGTAACTATAAGTTCTGAAAATTTTTGACTTCAGTCATGTAGTGTTTTTGAGCATTTAGGTGAACAAAATCTCAACTTGAGGACAGAAAAACACGCGACCGGAAGTGCATTTTCCTAAGATGGTTGACTTCACACTAGACAATTGCAGTCTCAATAACATATGTAAAAATCATTTCAAAAACTTTATCAATAAGTGATATTTTTGGGAATGTTAAAAATCCCAATAACATAGTTTCTCTCTTATAACCGGAAAGTGTCATTTTTTGTTTCCAGTGAGACCAACACATATAGAAACTGTGAAAGAGATTCAATTATATGATGCAAGTTTTATTTCAAAATTGAAAAGTTTAAATTTTCGATTTCTTTGATCACTTCCTGTAACGACCGGAAGTGACGACTGACGCTATTAACCCAAAGAGTTTTGCCTACTCATTAAGTTCTATTACTCATATAAGTTTGGTGTCTTAATCTTTTACCGTTTCTGAGATCTCACTTTGACAAGTTCTTATATTGCTGACAGTAAAACATGCGACCGGAAGTGAATTTTACCAAGATATTCAATGTTACTCTAGACATTTGCAGTCTGAATAACTTATCTAAAAATCATTTCAAATACTTCATCTATAAGCGATATTTATTGGAAAGTAAAATACTCAAATTATGTAGTTTTTCTCTTATAACCGGAAGTTGACGTTTCTGTTTCCGGTGGGACTAACATATTTCAAAACTGTAAAACAGATGCAATAATGCGATGCAAGATTTAATTAAAATAAGAAAAGTTGAAATTTTCGATTTCTTTGATCTCCTCCTATGACGACCGGAAGTGACGGCTGACGGATTTAAACATATTCTGCAAACGTACTTGTCATGATCTATAATCCCTGAAAGTTTGAGGTCTTAATCTTTTACCGTTTCTGAGATATCATCCGGACATGATCTCTTTTGAAAAAACGGAAATTGGACATATCTGACGACAGGAAGTGAATTTTGCAAAATCATTAAAAATGTTTTTAGTTTATTTTATTTGTCATAATCCCTGAAAGTTTCAAGAAAATCCATCGAGCCATCTCTGAGAAATCGCTTGGACAAAAAACGGGAAAAAAATAATAATAATAATAAACAGTAGAATCACTATAAGGTCTTCCATCTGAAACGGAAGACCTTAATAAGAAACAGTAGAATCACTATAAGGTCTTCCGTGAAAACGGAAGACCTTAATAATAATAATAATAAGAAACAGAGTAAAAACAATATGTTCCCAAACTTCGTTTGGGGAACATAATAACCTGTACACTTTATAGCTAGCGCAAAACAAGATACTAATAACACCCCCCCCCCTCCCCCCCCCCCCCCCCCGTACAAAACTCACGCGATGATGGTCTTACTATATACATGTATAATAAATGAGCTTAAAATACATCTTTATATACAGTTTTGAAATTGTTAGTTTTTCTTTTCAATCGATTTCAGGACCTTTCTCATAATTAAAATAATGTGCTTTTTTATGAAATGAAAACCAGTACAGATCTTGATGTCTTCTTTATTTTGCCGATTCTTTACTTAGAACCTTACGGGAGTGAAGCCCATTCCGCTACGGGTGCTAACCTACACTCTTGTTGTCACTGTATTAAAACGAAACCCTTGTTCCTCACAAAGCATGAAATAATAATTATGCTACTCGCTGACTTTCTAAGCTTTTTTAAAAAACCCTTACTTTGTAACGTACATTATTAATAAATGTAATGTTGAAAGAAAGGCTAGGTGGAAAACAGAATCAAGAAAGGATGTCCCATTTACTGGGTGGAGGGAGTTTGTTTATGATTAGACTAGTCCACTTATGGAATAAATAGTAAGAATTCAGCAAATTCATTGCTTTAGTGTTGCTTGTCCATATACAATGTGTTCTCTTAAAAAAATGAGATAAAATTTACTGTTAATAAAAAATCTGGAGCTTAAGAATCATGTTAAAAGAATAAACTTTATTTCCATAGAAGTTATCACACCCATTCAATAGAACAACCCAAGAAAAAGGCGCGAACATAATTTACATGTGACACTTGGCGCGAAATGATTGTGTCACCCCTTTTGTAGAAGGCAAATGGACTGATCCAGTAGTTTAGAAACGCAGAAAAAGTGTTACACGGACATGTTCGTACAAAGAATCGCAAAGAATAAATATGTGCATGCAAAAAAATTGAAGGAATTAAACACATCATTATTTTGCATCAGTTATATGATTCTCTCTTCTGCAAACTGTATTTGTTTAAATGCAGGTAACAAATTCCGAAGTAAATCAGCTTGCAGAAAATCTAGTTCATTAAGAATGATCGCTTAGTTTCGGATCCCTGAAATATTAATCCTTATAATGCCTGACGCACGTGGCGTCAGGCAACAAAGTACATAAAATATCCTAAGCACAGATACCAAAAATGTAAAAATAGAATAAGGGAAATTAAAAAAATTCTCACAATAAAAAAAATATTTCTTTATTATGTATGGAACTACAATTGACTAAGTTCATTTTGATTGTTCAATTACCAGTGTGATACCTTTATACGAATCTGTTTACTACCATGGTTAATTTAACATGTCTCATTGTTTTATGCCTCTCGGGGCCCCTTGAATGGCAATAAATCATCTGTATCCTTTGGGAATTAGAAGAACTGCTGGTCAGTTTATAGCATATGTCATTTGATGGCCAGTCTTTTATTTTAAAATTAATTTGGTATAGATTAAGTTAAGACTAAATTGATATTGTTTAATTGATATTTTTATTTTATTTTTTGAAAATATTGACGAACAAATTTCAGAGCATCATGTCTCACAAATATGAAAGATTGTGTATGTGTCACTGTCACTGTGTGTGTGTGTGTGTGGGGGGGGGGGGGGGGGGGGCTGCAGATGGGTATTTGTCAAGCTCTAACACAACCAGTTGAGGATCGATAATGTTATATTTGTTATAATTCATGCCTACACCATAGGAAATGTAATAACAAATATTATAAGGAATGGAAAAATCTTGGAAATCCTTGTATCAAGGTTGACTTGATTTTCTTGCACTCTGAACTGTTTGTGATAATTGAACAATATTTGACGGGCGTATCATGCTGTGGCGGGGCACTTTATTCACTGATGTTTTCAAATTGATGCAGAGCATTCATTTACTAAAATGTGCTTTCTTTTATCCCTTTCAGGACACATACTATATGTACAAACACAAAATTGGATGCATGGATTGTTATATATTTTTTGGCTTATTTTGGTCTCAAAATGTTGCATATATATTATATATCAAATCTCTAAAATATTAATAAATTGTAAACTTTCTATGATAATCATTTTCATTTTTTTTCCCTTTTTTCCACCCCTTATTATGAATTAAACAATTTATGCTTAATACATTAATAACATAATTTTTCAGGTCATGTAGTTCTTCATCCTCCTAGCAATTTAAGCACTTTTTACATTGGAGATGGGGATGTGTATTTCTATTGGAACCCTCCACAGAATTACCACACTCACCAGCCCGGAAACCTTACAAAGGCCCAGGTGTACAAGATCCGCAACAAAGACCACATTCACTTCTCCGATTCAGGTTCATGGATTGAAAAAGGAAGTGAAACAGAAAGGGATCAAGACTGGATTTTTAGATTATTTTCTATTTCTGGCATTTCTGCTAAAAGCCATCAAAGAGAATTAAAAAACTCACAGAAAATACAGAAGACCAATCAGTCAATAGAGGACCATATTGATCAAGCAAACTTAACAAGTGAACAGGTGGAAAAATACAAGCAATATCTGAAGAGCAAAAATATCTCAAATATTCCAGACTGGTTTCAGAAAACTACTGTACCAAAGGAGCATGCAGGAATATTATGGTATACCATTTTCTGGCAAGAAATGGATAATGGAACAGAAATTGGTGAGGAAATGTGTATCTATTGTAACCATATTTGATATTTTTTCATTCTTGGTATACATTTATATAAGCTTCACATTGTTATTGATATATATGTAAAATATACATGTATGTAGTGTTAAGTGTTTACAAGTAAGTGCTCAGTTTAATACAATATTGATGTGTAACCTGTGTTTAATTTTTAGTATTCTTTTTTAAATACTGATTTGTGTTTATAACAAGGTGAGGCACAGAATTACAGCGTGAAGCCAGATAAACTAGCATACCACATCAAAGGCCTGAAAGCTGAGACAGACTACAGAATCAATGTCCAGGTCATGTATTACTCCTTCACTTCCCTCAAAAGTGAGGATCTCTTCATAAAAACAAACAGAAACTATTCCCTGATACATGAGGAGGATTACAGGAATATATATGGTATGTTGTCAGCACACATAACAACCTTAATAGAAAAAATAATGTAAGAAAAATTCTTCACATTCATAAAAATTAAGGAATTCTTTTCCCTTTTTTTTTCTTTTTTAAAAGAAATCCTTTGAGATAGTGTTCAATTCTATTCCATCTTTCAAACTCCATAGTTATTGGTAAAGCTAAAAGACTAAGACCATAATTCTCCACAAATAATTATACCAGAAAAAGTGTAATGGCTACACATTATTTTTACCAAAATTTTGATTTGAAAAACAAAAGGCCTAGGGGCCTCAATGCTCACTTGAGTCAATGTGGCTCTGCCTTTCTTCATGAGATATTTTGCCTTATATCTATTCCTATGTAAAACTTTGATCCCCTGTTGTAGTCCCACCCTACCAGGCACATAGTATCATTTTTGAGAGTGGGGAGGCTGGCCAGAAAAAAAAATTGACACCCTATCGATGAGAAATCTTTGACAAGCAAAAAATAAAAAATTAACAGAAAAAAGGTAAACATTTTCCAAACTCCAAAATTCTATTTCATGGGAGGGGAGGGGGTGGGAGCACAACCCTCCCCCCCCCAAATACTGCAAACTTCAAGTGTCATTGATTTGAATAAACTTAAATCTAAATTATCTTTGGATGCTTCTATATTCATATTTCTAATCATGGCTTTGCTGTCCTTGAGAAGATTTTTAGCTCACCTTGACTAAGTCGGGATGAGCTTGTGCTATACCGTCGGCGTTAGCATCGGCATCACGGGTAAAGTTTTAGGAGCAAGTCCATTCCCAAGTAACTATAAGCTCTACCTGATCCAAACTTGCATGGATGATGCATCAAGGGATGGACACTACCACACTTGCTTCGGATGCTGGATATGACCTAGATTTTCCAGTTGAGTGACCAGGTTAAAGTTTTTGGAGCAGGTCCATTCCCAAGTAACTATAAAGCCTACTTTGACCAAACCTGCATGGATGATGCATCTAGGTATGGACACTACCACACTTGCTTCGGATGATGGATCTGACCTAGATTTTCCAGATGAGTGACCAGGTTAAAGTTTTTGGAGCAGGTCCATACCCAAGTAACTATTAGCCCTACCTGGACCAAACCTGCATGGATGATGCATCTAGGTATGGACACTACCACACTTGCTTCAGATGCTGGATCTGACCTAGATTTTCCAGTTGAGTGACCAGGTTAAAGTTTTTGGAGCAGGTCCATTCCCAAGTAACTATAAACCCTACCTTGACCAAACTTGCATGGATGATGCATCTAGGGATGGACACTACCACACTTGCTTCGGATGATGGATCTGACCTAGATTTTCCAGATGAGTGACCAGGTTAAAGTTTTTGGAGCAGGTCCATACCCAAGTAACTATTAGCCCTACCTGGACCAAACTTGCATGGATGATACATCTAGGGATGGACACTACCACACTTGCTTCAGATGCTGGATTTGACCAAGATTTTCCAGATGAGTGACCAGAGGTTAAAGTTTTTGGAGCAGATCCATTCCCAAGTTACTATAAGCCCTACCTGGACCAAACTTGCATGGATGATGGATCTAGGGATGGGCACTACAACACTTGCTTCAGATGCTGGATCTGACCTAGATTTTCCAGATGAGTGACCATGTTAAAGTTTTTGGAGCAGGTCCATTCCCAAGTAATTATAAGCTCTACCTTGAACAAACTTGACATGGATGATACATCTAGGGATGGACACTACCACACTTGCTTCGGATGCTGGATTCAACCTAGATTTTCCAGATGAGTGACTAGAGGTTAAAGTTTTTGGAGCAGGTCCATTCCCAAGTAACTATAAGCCCTACCTGGACCAAACTTGCATGGATGATGGATCTAGGGATGGGCACTACCACACTTGCTTCAGATGCTGGATCTGACCTAGATTTTCCAGATGAGTGACCAAGTTTTTGGAGCAGGTCCATTCCCAAGTAACTATAAGCTCTACCTTGTACAAACTTGCATGGATGATGCATCTAGGGATGGACACTACCACACTTGCTTCGGATGCTGTATTCAACCTAGATTTTCCACATGAGTGAATTTTAGCCATATTTGAACTAAATTAGCATGGATGATGTAGCTAGGGATGGTCACTTCCAGACTTGCTTTGGATTCTGAATCTGACCTACATTTTCCAGATGAGTGACCAGAATAATTTTTTTGGAGTAGCTATATAACATTATGGCCTGTTATGATTAAACTTGCATAGATGGTGCATCCAAGGATGAAAACTTCCAGACTTACATTGGATGTTGGAACTGACCAAAATTTTCTTGATTAGTAAACAGGATAAACGTTATTTGAACAGGTCTATTTCCAAGTAACTATAAGTCATACTTAAACCAAACTTGCATGGACATTGATCTTGGGATGTACACTAAATAAAAAAAAATATGTGAAATTTGCCTCACTTAAAGATAACATTCGTCGAGGTGAGCTTCGTAATCATTGATTACCCATGTTTAAGATCTGGCCCCATCCTATCCTTAGGGGTCATGGTTTGATTAAACTTGAATCTATACTACTTGACAATGCTTCCATATCAATATGACTAATTATGGCTTTGCTGTTCTTGACAAGATTGTTAAAGATTTTTTTTTCTACATATTTCTGTGTAAACTTTTGACCCCCCACTGTGGCCATACCGTCCCCTTAGGGTCATGATTTGAAAAACTTGAATTTACACTATTTCGTGAATGTTTTACATAAGTTTCAACTTTTCTTGCCCAGTGGTTCTTGAGAAGAAGATTTTTGAAAGATGCAACAAAATTTTCACTAATTTTTAGCTCACCTGAGCCGAAGGCTCAAGTGAGCTTTTCTGATCACTTTTTGTCCGTCGTCCGTCTGTCCGTCTGTAAACTTTTCACATTTTCGACTTCTTCTCAAGAACCACTGGGCCAAATTCAACCAAACTTGCCACAAAGTATCCTTGGGTGAAGGGGATTCAAGTTTGTTCAAATGAAGGGCCACGCCCTCTTTCAAGGGGAGATAATTAGGAATTAGTGAAAAAATAATGGCATCATTTAAAAATCTTCTTCTCAAGAACCACTGGGCCAGGAAAGATGAAACTTTTGTGGAAACATCCTCAGGTAGTGTAGATTCAAGTTTGTTCAAATCATGACCCCCGGGGGTAGGGAGGGGCCACAATGGGGGATCAAAGTTTTACATAGAAATATATAGGAAAATATCTTTAAAAATCTTCTTCTTAAGAACAGCAAAGCCATGATTGCTCATAATTATATGGAAGCATCCTCAGGTAGTGTAGATTCAAGTTTGTTCAAATCATGACCCCCGGGGGTAGGGTGGGGCCACAATGGGGGATCAAAGTTTTACATAGAAATATATAGGAAAATATCTTTAAAAATCTTCTTCTTAAGAACAGCAAAGCCATGATTGGTCATATTTATATGGAAGCATCCTCAGGTAGTGTAGATTCAAGTTTGTTCAAATCATGACCCCTGGGGATAGGGTGGGGCCACAATGGGGGATCAAACTTTTACATAGAAATATACAGGAAAAAATCTTTTTCTCAGGAACAGAAAAGCCTGCATTAGTAAATTTGATATGGAGGCATCCTTGGGTAGTGTAGAATGAAATTTGTTCAAATCATGACCCCCGAGGGTAGGGTGGGGCCACAATGGGGGATCAAAGTTTTACATAGAAATATATAGGAAAATATTTTAAAAAATCTTCTTCTTAAGAACAACAAAGCCGTGATCGGTCATATTTATGTGGAAGCATCCTCAGGTAGTGCAGATTCAAATTTGTTCGAATCATGACCCCCGGGGGTAGGGTGCGGCCACAATGGGGGATCAAAGTTTTAAATAGAAATATATAGGAAAATATTTTAAAAAATCTTCTTCTTAAGAACAGCAAAGCCATGATTGGTCATATTTATATGGAAGCATCCTCAGGTAGTGTAGATTCAAGTTTGTTCAAATCATGACCCCCGGGGATAGGGTGGGGCCACAATGGGGGATCAAATTTTTACATAGAAATATATAGAAAAATATCTTTAAAAATCTTCTTCTTAAGAACAGCAAAGCCATGATTGATCATATTTATATGGAAGCATCCTCTGGTAGTGTAGATTCAAATTTGTTCAAATCATGACCCCCGGGGGTAGGGTGGGGCCACAATAGGGGATGAAAGTTTTACATAGAAATATACAGGAAAAAATCTTTTCCTCAAGAACAGAAAAGCCATGATTAGTAAAATTGATATGGAGGCATCCTTGGGTACTGTGGAATGAAATTTGTTCAAATGAGGGACCCCGGGGGTAGGGTGGGGCCAATGGGGGATCAAATTTTTACAAATGAATATATGGGAAAAAATCTTCTGCTCAAGAACAGCAATGCCATTTGTTATATTGATATGAAAGCATCATCAGGTAGTTTAAAATTCAACCCCCCCCCCCACCCCCCCACCCCCCCCCCACCCCCCCCCCCCCCCCCCCCCCCCCCCGTTAACTTTTCAATACTTAACTGATTTTTGCTTTTTTTTTCCTAGCCAATGTGCTCAGGTGAGCGATGTGGCCCATGGGCCTCTTGTTAATCACTAGGGATGGCAATCGAATACAGAATTGCTAATCGGTTAACCACAAGAAGTTCCGACCGGTTAAGCATATCAAAATACAGATTTTCTTGACATTTTTTTTTAGGTCACCTGAGTCACTCAGGTGACCTATTGCTATCTGTTTTCGTCCGTCGTGCGTCGTGTGTTAACATTTGAACATTTTCAGCTTCTTCTCTGAAACCACTGAACCAATTTCAACCAATTTTAGCATATGGCATCTATGTGTGAAGGGGAACAAAATTTTTGAATATCATGGTCCCTGCCCCCCTGGGGCCTGAGGGGTGGGGCTAAAACCACCAAAATTAATGCAATCTTTAAAAATCTTCTTCTTTACTCCTGGACATCAAGCAGTCAAACTGTTGGCATGATTGTAATAAGCATTGAGCCCTCTACCAAAATTGTGAAATTCATAGCCCCAGGGTCAGGGGTTCTGGTGCTAGGGTGGGGCTATATAGATCATATAGTGAAAGTGCATTATTTCTTTGAAAATCTTCTTCTCTACTCCTGGGTATTATTGAAACAAATTAAATACATAGTTATGTTAAGCAAGAGTGACTCTACCAAAATTGTGAAATTCATAGCCCCAGGGTCAGGGGTTCTGGTGCTAGGGGGAGGGGGGGGGGGCACTATATAGATCATATAGTGAAAGTGCATTATTTCTTTGAAAATCTTCTTCTCTACTCTTGGGTATTATTGGAACAAATTGAATACATAGTTATGATAAGCAAGGGTGACTCTACCAAAATTGTGAAATTCATGGCCCCGGGGTCAGGGGTTCTGGTGCTAGGGTGGAGTTATATAGATCATATAGTGAATGTGCATTATTTCTTTGAAAATCTTCTTCTCTACTCTTGGGTATTACTGAAACAAATTAAATACATAGTTATGATAAGCAAGAGTGACTCTACCAAAATTGTGAAATTCATAGCCCCAGGGTCAGGGGTTCTGGTGCTAGGGGGAGGGGGGGTGCTATATACATGTAGATCATATAGTGAAAGTGCATTATTTCTTTGAAAATCTTCTTCTCTACTCCTGGGTATTATTGGAACAAATTGAATACATAGTTATGATAAGCAAGGGTGACTCTACCAAAATTGTGAAATTCATGGCCCCAGGGTCAGGTGTTCTGGTGCTAGGGTGGGGTTATATAGATCATATAGTGAAAGTGCATTATTTCTTTGAAATCTTCTTCTCTACTCTTGGGTATTACTGAAACAAATTAAATACATAGTTATGATAAGCAAGAGTGACTCTACCAAAATTGTGAAATTCATAGCCCCAGGGTCAGGGGTTCTGGTGCTAGGGGGAGGGGGGGGGGGGTGCTATATAGATCATATAGTGAAAGTGCATTATTTCTTTGAAAATCTTCTTCTCTACTCCTGGGTATTATTGAAACAAATTGAATACATAGTTATGATAAGCAAGAGTGACTCTACCAAAATTGTGAAATTCATGGCCCCAGGGTCAGGGGTTCTGGTGCTAGGGTGGGGCTATATAGATCATATAGTGAAAGTGCATTATTTCTTTGAAAATCTTCTTCTCTTCTCTTGGGTATAATTGAAACTAATTAAATACATAGTTATGATATAGGAAGGGTGACTCTTCCAAAATAGTGATTTTCATGACCCTTGGATCAGGGGTTCTGATGTTAGGGCCTGGCTCTATTTATTATATAGTGAAAATGCATTAATGCTTTAAAAATCTTCTTCTCTGCTCCTGGGTATTTTTGAAACAAACTATTAAGTACATTGTTATGATAAGCAATGATGCCTCTTCCAAAATTGTGAAATTCATGGCCCCAGGGACAGGGGTTCTGGTTCTAGGGTGGGGCTGTTATAGATCCTATAGTGAAGGTGAATTTTTTCTTTGAAAATCTTCTTCTCTGCCCCTGGGTACTATTTAAACAAACTAAATACATTGTTATGATACACAAGGATGCCTCTTCCAAAATTTTGAATTTCATGGCCCAAAGGGTCAAGGGTTCTAGTGAAAAGGTTGGGGGGGGGGGCTCTATTGATTATATAGTGAAAAAGCACAATTTCTTTGAAAATATTCTTTTCTGCTTCTGGTTAAAAAGCAAAGAAGCTAAGTATATAGTTATGATGAGCAAGAGTGCTTCTTCCAGAGTAGTGAATTGCATGACCCGGGTCAGATGTGCTGGTGCAAGGGTGGGGCTCTTGATAATATAGTGAAAATGCATTAATTCTATTAAATAATCCTGTCTGCTCCTTAGTGTTAAGCAGATAAACAAAGTGATTACTTATGATGAGCAAAACTTCTGGTCCCAGGGTGAGAGACTCTAGTGTTTCTTGGTGCAGAGGAGGGGGGGGGGGGGCTCTATTGATAATATAGTGAATCTGAAGTAAAAATGCATTATTTCTTTAAAAATTTTCTCTGCACTTGGGCATATCAGAGGCAGAAAGATTAAAAGTTTTAATAAGGAAGGGTATTTTTACCAGATTTTTGAACATCTGGACCATTTGTTCAAGTGTTCTGGTCCTGGCCAGGGCTCTATTAATTTGTATTCTACTGAGAGGAGTTATTCCCCTTTGCCATTTACTTTTGATAATTAATCACTGTAAACAATGTACTTGAAAGGTTAATAGAATAAGAGAATTAAGCAAGAATTTTTATTGTATAATACAAAAAGTATTTTCATAGTTTTAATGATCAGATAGACTTGTAAGTAATAGATAAATAAAAATGGAACAAAAATAACTTGTCTTATTAAATGTTCATCAAAGACCAAGAGAGACCAATGTAAGAGATTTCAACAAGAAATCAAAATAGTACAGAAGCACTGATAGGTTTTTAATACACTGTATAGTGATAGTGATAAATGGGGAACAGATTAAAACCTAATTCATAAACTATCAATGAATACTAGATTAATTATTTTGTTGATCCTGATCACCCTAGTATTTTTCTTGCTTTTGGGCAACAAAGCTTCACCTTTCAGTACATTTTATACTCAGAGCTATGGATCCTCTAAATTGTTGTATTATACTCAGGTGACCGTTAAGACCCTTGGGCCTCTTGTCTTTATTCACATACACAAGAAGACTTAAAAGGAAGTTAGACATTATAACATTCTAAACATTCTGTTTATCTTGATCAGGAAACCTTTTGTACATAATTATATTTTATTTCAATTTCAATAAACAAGAAAAAAATTAAGAAAATCATGAAACGTACCTGAGAAATTAGACATTTATAATTTTCCAGATGTCACACAAGTTCATTCTGTATTCTTCCTATCTATACTTTTTTTTTTACAGTTTCTGAGAATAAAGTGTTGTCTTGTCTTGCATAGGCGTTGGGGGGGGGGGGGGGGGGGCTATGTCTTGCATTGTCACCTGTCACCATAAGCAAGACTAAGTTTGAATTTTTACTCAATTAACAATGATGCTTGTCTAAAGCTATATATAGACATAAAATGTTGTTTATTTAGAACTGGGAATACAAAATTACCTAATGAGACTGGTAGATGGTTTAACATCCCTAGAGAAAATAGAATTTGTAAATTATGTAACTGCAATGAAATTGGGGATGAATTTCATTACTTATTTAAATGTACTGATGTATCTATTAAGAACTCAAGAGTTATGTATTTGTCAAAATATTTCTAATCAAATCCAAATGTTTTGAAATTTGAAATGCTTTTTAATGTAAAAAATATTAATCAACGTAGCAAAATTTGTAAATTGGTAGATATTATCATGATTATAATTGAGAGAGTTGGCTCTCTTGGTTGATATTACACTCTGTTATCCATTCTTCAGGTGTAATATTTTCTGTTCATTATATTGTACATATCTTCTCTTCACTGTTTTGTCAGTTATGAGAATAAAGTTCATGTTTATGTATGATTTAATAGAAAATAGGCAAAAGATAGATCACAGTGCTCAACTCTGATTTATTTAATTTCATTAAGGAATCGCAGGACAGTCAGGGTACCGACAGGTTGTTTAAACACTAATTTACACTTCCCAAACTGACCAATTACACATGCGATCTCAATCAAGAGAGCCATAATTACCTCCAAATACATGTGTGAAAACGCTAAATTATCACCGTTTGTGCAAAAATTTATTTTAAGAAATAAATTTTAAGAAAATTGCGTTCAAATTTACAAATGTTTTATTTTTTCCGACTAACAGATTACAGATTTTCTAACCGATTAACATTGTTGCGACCGAGTAATCGGTTAACCAGTTACAAATTGCCATCCTTATTAATTACAATGCATTTTCTCTTGAAAGAGGGTCCGGCCCTTCATTAAGTAAACTTGAATCCCCTTCACCCAAGGATGCTTTGTGGCAAGTCTGTTTGAAATTGTTCCAGTTTCTGGAGAAGAAGTCGAAAATATGAAAGGTTTACAGACAGAAGGATGGACAGACAGACAGACAGATGCAAGAGAAAATGTGATCAGAAAAGCTAACTTGAGCTTTCAACTCAGAGGAGCTAAAAATTGATTAATGTATAGATTTATTTTTTTTTCTCCATGTATAGACTATTGTCGCTGTGATACAATGGGAACTAAGAATGGCACATCCAAGTGTAAAATACATCAGTACGGACAGCTGACTCTGTCTCTCTGTGAATGCAGGGAGGGTTACTCTGGAATGTATTGTCACCTCTGTAGACCTGGCTATTACCGTCTGGGACCCAACATGCCATGTTTCAAGTGTCCCTGTGTCCCAGAAAAATCAGATGGCCATTGTCATTTTGGTAAGCCTAAGCAAAATCTTCACATTATGATTAAGATGTGATGTTCAAATATTAGTTATTAATTAATAAAATTAAATATTGATAAAGTTTTGTATAATTTTAATTTTCTCTTGCTCGCATAGATGTACTTTTAAGGTTATTTAAATGTTAATTTAAATTTATTTAAATGTTAGTTTAAATTTCTTATTCATGTGTCCCAAAGACAGTGTCTTAAATTATCCCACTGTTAAACTTGATTTTTGAATATGAATGTAAAAATAGTTGTTTTCATATAATTACAGTGTATTGAAGTTTTTATGGCAAGGCCGTAGATTTAAATCTAGAGAAAAAAATTAATAAATCAAAGTTCATGGAAAAAAATATTAAACAGAACACAGACAATTGAGCTCTTACTGATTTGGTATTGAATTGCTTGTGACAGGGATATATTTTTGTTTCAGAGGAGGGGTACCTGTTTTGTGACACCTGTAAGGAGGGTTATGGAGGAAATCTGTGCCAGGCATGTGCTGCAGGTTACTATAGGCCTCAGATGAGCACAAAGTGCACAAAATGCAACTGCCATGGAAATGCACTGTTCTGTCAAGATCTTACAGGTTTTTACTGACCAGACAGTTCAATGTCATCAATGAGATGTATTTGTAACTGTTTTTGTTATGTTTAACTCCAAGGCATATCTTTCTGTAATTTCTAAGTCTACTACCAGTTAAATCTTCTCTATGTCAGAACTGAATTACATTTATAATTATATAATAATAAAAAGTATTTAAAACTTTAGCGCAATATGGATGTGCAATGAGACCTTATATACCTTTATTGTAGTAACATTTATCAATTCAAAGCAGAACTGATTCTGTTGGTTAAGGTAATTGCACGCTACTCTGAGTTGAATTAATTAATATGTTTTTTAGGAGAATGCATTGCTTGTATGAACCACACAGCAGGGTTCAATTGTCACAGGTGTGAGCATGGATATGTTGGTAATGCACAGAGTTATAGACACCCAAAGTGTGTTAATCCAGCAGGTGAGAACATTTCAAATGATTTCTTAATTTTCTTTTTCTTAATTTAAATTTCTCAATGATTTCTCTCTATATGATGTTATTAAGTTTGAAAGTATCGTTTAACATTTGTAAGATACAGCTGTTAAAAGCAATATTTTATATGTCTGATTTTAACATGTAAGATTACGTCAAGCATTTTTTAAGAGTTTTTGTTCATTTAAAGTTGATGTATGATTGCTTTAGACGACTGCATATTGCCATTTCCAACACAACTATAATAAATAACATAGACTAGAGTTTGTTACCCTGAAGGAAATAAAGGATTTTCAAATTTAATATTTTTATATAGAAGTTAAAATGCAGGAGAAAAAAAGTTCCGTGAGTTCTGGAGTGATTGCTGGAATCTGTGTGGCAATCATCATCTTTATTGGTGTCATCACTGGTATCGTCATCTATAAACGATGCTGGATTTACCCAGTAGCACGGCCGTTCTGGACAGTAGAGCTAAAAGATGATCATGAAGGCATCAACTTCAGCAGCGTTCCTGAAGATGAGCTGGTGGCCATCACAGCCCGAGAGGAGGAGGAATTTTACCGAGGCCAGGGTGTGAAGACAAGTAAATCACGCTCACAGCCATACTCACAACTCAGAGAGGACATCTGATTACCTTAGAGGACATATTAGAGGACGTCAAATAATATTACAATAGAGGACGTCAAATAATATTACAATAGAGGACGTCTGATTGGCTCAAAGGACATATTAGAGGACCTCAAATAATATTACATTAGAGGACATCTGACATTGCAAGAACTAAAAAGCTAGGGAATTTCAGTGGCTATAGAGGAAGAAAGCTTACTCTTGTTTATTTTCCCTCATGGGAAATATTTATAAACTTTGTGATGAAGCTAGTTCAATGATTTTTTTTTTTGAAAAATTACTTGTATGTACATGTATTTCCCAGGCAAGTGTATAAAGGCACAGTTTAATACAATGTCAAGCTGCAAGTTTCTTTTTCCACAAAACATATAGCCACTTTATATACTTTTGTGCTTAAAACATAGTTGTAGAGTCAATTAATACCTGATTTTATAAATGTTATCACTGTGCCTTTCAGGACTTGGCTTTTTAAGAAATATTTAATATCAATATTAAGAATATAAGAATTGAATGTAGATCTCGGTAGTCATTAGTATTGCTTACTGTTGCTGCCTTTATGAATGTGTCTTTACACTGCTGTGAGTTCACAAAGATCTGATTTTTAGTTTAAAATCAGATAGAAATAAACTAATTTACTGTGTTAGTGTTAGATACATGTATCTGAGTTGTATTCATAAGGTTCTTGGGTTAAAACTTGACATACTAACATGGAACTAAAATTCCTAACATGGAACTTTTCCGTAAGTATAACAATTTATTATGAGAAAACTGAAGTTAAATGGTTAAATGCTATTAAAGGAAATTCTGTATACCATACAGGGAAAAAAGATGAGCTAGAGCATTATTTATGTTATAAATTGTAATATAAAGGAAATAGTGATATATATCTATATATATCTCGGGTTATCTCTCTTATCAGAAGACCCAATGTAATGTGACAGCAGTTAAAAGATGTGATGATTCTGAGACTTATTCAAATGATGATGATTAAATGTATTTCTTGTATCCCAATTTTTAAACATGGTATGAGGGACTTTATACCTTTGCATGGCTATAATCCATGGATATATTCATATATTGCAGCAAATTTACAGGGTATCTGTGTTTTAAGTGCTTGTTTGATGCAATTGATTATTGCTATTCTTGAAATTGTTGATTGTTTTTTTCCATTTATAAACCATCTATAAATAAAGAAAAATCAAAAATGAAAATCAATAGGGCTTTATATATATATATATATATATATATATATATATATATATATATATATATATATATATATATATATATATATATCTCCAAATATTTTTCCTTATATATACATTTCCAAATATTTTTCCTTAAGATTCTTTGCAAACTAGAAAAAGTTCATTTTCTCATAAACTACCGTGGGACAAGTAAGAATATTTCCATTGTGATGTAATTGAAGTAAAAAAAAATAGTGCAAACTTTTTTTTTCAAAAATGATCATTGAATGACAATAATATGTGGCAACTCATCATAAATATATATATATATATATATAATTTTTTTTTCAGTTGTTTACATTTGAACATTTAAATGTTAGAATTCCTTTTGATTACATATCAGGTTTTCTTTTATTTTAAACATCAACATATCAGTTCTATTTCCTAATACACTATATTGTTTTATGTAGAATATTGAAAAATGTAAAAGAATTGTTAATTTTTCTGTGGATTGTAAATGACATATAGATGTATGTTTACATAAATCAGTTGGATAGGATATACATTTGGCAGTAACTAAGTCAGAGTTTCATAGATTGTACTATCTAGTCAGTCACCTGTTTGTCTCATTTTGGTACAGATTTTGTTCAGTTCAATAAGCTGTGACATAGATATCTATTAAAAATGTGTTAGGACACTGTTCTTAAAAAAAACTCTGAAAATGACACAAGCTTCTGACTTGTTGATATCATGCTTTCTGTTGTGTGTAATTTAAGATGGAAGGGGTGGGAGTGTTAATTTGTGACAGCTAGTAAAAAATTCTGAATAGCTGCTTAATTCATATAAAACATAAAGAAGATGTTTTAGTAGAATTATTGTGTGCTTCAACTTATTTATCATACGTAAATAGGGACCAAAGTATGATGAAGCAATCATAATAAAAAAAATTTTGAAAGATTATTTTTCAGAGTTTATTTATAATTGTTGTACTTTTTACATACAAATGAATGTGTATTCATTTTAAATGGGTCTTTTTTAATATCAAGTACATGTGCAAATCTTTCGTTTCTTCTTGTTTAAATTTGTTGGTATCACAAGTATTATTTTATCCATGGGCCTGATCACATGCTTTTTTATTCTAAAGTACAATTATTTTCATGAATAATCTTTTTTTTTTTTGTCATGAAAGTTTTAAAATAATGTTCTCAAAAAATTACAAAGCAAAATCCACATGAAAATTCAGTAATTTTCCTAAAGTCAGCCTAATCCCAGGACCCAGAATGCTTTTCTCTTGCCATTAACACAGTGACTTTAACTAGAAATGGGAAGCCATTTTGATTTAATTACTTATATTAATTTTATAGTTGCTACTTGCTACACATAAGAATATTGCCACAGATAAAGGATGATATTTATGTTTTTAGATTTTTTAGTGTTGTGAAATTATGTCTGTTTCAGCCTTTACTTACATATCATAGTATGTTTTTAAAGTAGCCGTGTGATATATAATGTCTGATGAGAAAACTATCTCTTTGAAACTTAAATGTAATCAAAATTTAAGTAAACTTCCTATTTATGGACTCATGATTCATATTCATAGACTCAGGTAAAGACATAAACTTTGTTCTTTTTGAACTAATTGCTGTTTTTGGAAGGTTTTATGGTTAACTGGGTGACTGTCATTGAAATCCACCTTCAAAAAATTCTTTTCTTGTACTGTTTGTAATTTGTAGCATATGTGCATATGTGCATTTTTGCTCTCAATGTGGAATCTAAAATTGTTAACACTTCTACTACAATAGTGTTCAGTTTTGCAGGGAATAAAATATGTCTTGTGTAAAATAAAATAGATATGAGATAGTTCATTTGATTTTGTTTTGATTAGCTCATTTCTGTCTCCAAAACTTCTGCTAGAAATCACTTTTAAAGAATAGATTTTGGGGGAGATACCTAGGATGAAGTTTCATCATAAGAATTAGTGAGTTGTCCATGAATTCAAAATTTAAAGGGTTCAATGTTAGAGACAAGAAAATTAGCCAAGAGACTGAAAGTGGAGTAAAATGCATGATTCATTTCTCATGTTATCAACTGTAAGGCTTTTCCAGTTTCATGAGTTATTGTTCTTACTGAGTGAGAACAACATGTATGTATAAATGAATTGTATGGAGATAACAAACAGTATTCAAGCTCACAAGCCCATTTAACAATACAAATTTTGGAGCAGAGCAAACACGGACCTCTAAAACATCAGAGGTGGGGTCAGGTGCCATATGGAGGAATGAGCATCCCCTGCCGACCGGTCACACCCGCCAAATGAAGACTTATTATGGCCCTTGGATCTTGATTGTACTGGCTAAGGGAACAGTCTTACCTTGGTGCTTATTAATGACATGTACATTATTTTATATCAGAACTATGCTGATATATAATATAGTTTTAATCTACTGTATTAAGATACAATTGAAAACTTCTTTTGAAAAATTATTTTTGTTTTCAAGAAGGTTCTTTTATTATTATTACAGTCTAGTACCAGAGGATATAAGGTTAAAGTTTCTGAAATGCAAGACAAATTTTTTTTTTCAAAAGTAGGCCAAACTCCCAAGGTCAAATAGTCAAAATTAGTGGTGCCCAAGGGAAAGTCTTATCACAAGGAATACACATGTGAAATATAAAAGTTTTAGCACTAACCATTCAATAGTTACGGCCAAGGTTATAGTTTTTGAAAAGTAGGTCAAACTCAATAGTCAAGGTCAAAATCGTTGGTACCATAGGATTGGTCTTGTCACAAGAAATACACATGTATAATATGAAAGCCCTAACTAGCTACAATCATTCAAAAGTTACTGAGTATGGTCAAGGTAAAAGTTATTTTTTTAAAGTGGGTCGAACTCAAAGGTCAAGGTCAAAAATATTTTTATCCATGGAAGGGTCTTATTACAAGGAATACACATGTGAAGTATGAAAGCCCTAGTACCAACCGTTCAAAAGTAATGGCCAAGGTTAAAGTTTGGTAAAATTTTGCAAAAGTGGGCCATACTCCAAGGTCAAGAGGTCAAATATGTTGGTACGAAAAGAAGTCTTGTCATCAGGGATACACTTGTGAAATATGAACGCCATAGCGTCAACAAATCAAAAATTACGAGCAAGGTTAAAGTTTTTGCGGACGGACAGAGCAAAAACTATATGCCCCAGAATCTTCGATAACGGGGGCATAAAAAGATTTAAATGTGGTATAAAATCATGGCACCTTTGGTGGATGGCTGGGGTGGGTATAATAGATTTCCAAAGCTTTACAAAGATGCATTTTAGGGGGGAAAACATCACGCTCTTGTAATTTTCGGTGTTGAAACAGAAACTGAGGCTCTATGTTGTTCTATAAACCGTAATTGTTAATTAAAATACAGAGATCCATATGCGACAACACTCACACTCTCGGTTCTTGAAGATTTTTATGCCCCCATAATCGAAGATTCGGAGGGATATAGTTTTTACCCTGTCCGTCTGTCCGTCTGTCTGTCCACAAAAAACTTTAACCTTGCCTATAACTTTTGATTGGTTTAAGCTATGGCTTTTGTATTTCACATGCGTATTCCTTGTTACAAGACCTTTCTTTGAGTACCATCATTTTTTACCTTTGAGTTTGACCTACTTTTGCAAAATTTTATGAGACTTTAACCTTGGCCATAACTTTTGAACTGTTGGTGCTTGGGCTTTCACACTTCACATGTGTATTTCTTGTGACATGACCTTCTTTTGGATACCAACAACTTTGACCCCTTGACCTTGTCCTTGGAGTTCGACTTACTTTTGAAAAAAATTTAACCTTGACCATAACTTTTAAACAGTCGGTGCTAGGGCTTTTATATTTCACATGTGTATTCCTTATTACAAGACTTTTCTTTTGATACCAACAACTTGGCCTTTTGACCTTGACCTTAGAGTTTGACCTACTTTAATTTTGAAAAACTTTAACCTTGGCCATGATTTTTGAACCGTTAAGAGTTAGGGTTTTCATACTTTACATATGTATTCCTTGTGACAACACCTTCCTTTGGATATCAACAATTTTGGCATTGACCTTGACCTTTGAGTTTGACCTACTTTTAAAAAAGAATTAACCTTGGCCATAACATTTAACGTTTGGTTCTAGGGCTTTCACACGTCACGAACATTTGTATCACTTGTGACAAGACTTTCCCTTGAGCACAATTTGACCTTGACGTTTTATTTATTTTTTAAAAAAACTTTAACCTTCGCCATAACTTTTCAAGGGTTGGTGCTAGCGCTTTCTTTTTCACAGGTATATTCCTCGAGACAAGACCTTTGTTTGGGTACCAACATTTTTGATCTCTTGACCTTGAGTTTGACTTGCATTTGAGAAACTTTAACCTTCGCCATAAGCTGCCATAGGGGGAATCAGTGTTTCACAAATACATTTTGTTTGTATGCTTTTTCTCTACAATGGTGACTCCAAATTGTGGCCAAACTCTTTTTTATCAGTGTGATTAAAATAACACCTCTTTATAAGATGTGAAAGTACAGAAAAAGTTCAATAAAAAATCATTTTGACACTTTGGTTTCGGTGGACTAAAACATTTATTATATTGTGATCAAGAATAACTATATGGATGGATGTTCATGTGTTGACTGGTGATGAGAAATGAAATTGATAACCTTAACAAAAATATTATAGTGAAGTACAGTTATCTATAGTTCACTAAAACATATTATTTGTTTACTATTATATTAAATCAAAATATTTATTAAAGTAATCAAAGTGTTTTTACTTTGGTTTAAAATTGCTATGTTTTATTTTCTTGAATTCTCACAATTATTTTATATCAAAGGAAACATTTCTTGTATATTTACATTTATTTATTTATTTAAATCATTGGTATAGAATTTAAATCACTGGTATGGAATTTAAGTCATTGGTATGGCATTTTAATCATTGATATAGAATTTAAATCATTGGTATGGAATTTAAATCATTGGTATCGAATTTAAATCATTGGTATCGAATTTAAA